GGGATCGATCAGCCGCTGGAAAGATGGCGCCCAGATTCCCCGGGCGATTCTGCTCCTCCACGGGTATCACAATGAGTATCGAAAGTTAACAGCACAGCAAACACCTAGGGAAATGCCATCCATCGATAACTACTTTCCTAAACACAAGCATAAACTGAATACGGACCAGGGAAGAGGGGAAGACCAGGCTCCCAGCTATGGTGGGGGGTGGGGTGCGGAGGAGAGAAGGGGGTAGGGGGGAGACCAGGGTCCCAGCTATGGTGGGGGGTGGGGTGCGGAGGAGAGAAGGGGGCAGGGCAAACAGTGCAGAGGTGCAAGTGTGGTAAGGTCTTGGTCATCTTGGGGCGGGCAGCGGGGGGATGGGGGGGGTGGCACCTACGTCCCTCTCTTTGTTGGGACCGTACCCAGTAGAAAATGGCATGCCCCCTTCTGGTTGTCCCCAGGTCCACAGCCATGGCACTGGAGAGGCTGCTGCGGGACTGGTGCAAGTGGATGGGCGTGAACGCGTATAACTCGCTGCTGCTCGTGGGCATCCCAGAAGACTGTGCCGAGGAAGAGTTTGAAGAGGCCGTCCGGGCTTCCCTCTGGCCCCTGGGCCCGTGCCAAGTGCTGGGCAGAGTCTTCAGGAAGGAGCTGGGGACCATGGTCGCCTTGGTGGAATTCGCTGACAATTTAAACCGTAGTGTGGTCCCCCAACATATTCCAGGCAAAGGGGGACCCTGGAGGGTGGTCTGCCTGTCCCAGGTCCCCGATACTGAACTAGAGGGGACTCTAGCTTTCCATTATCAGTTTAAGGGCCCCGTGCCGGCTGGCAGGGCAGGTGAGGCGGGAGCCACAGCCAAGGGAGCCGCCGGTGTGGCCATGGCAGGTGCCATAGGGGTCTCAGATGAGGCAGCTGCTCCGTCTGAAGGAGGAACTGCAGGCGAGGCAGGAGGCACCAGTGAAAGTGGAATGGAGCCTGTGACGAGCACAGCAGCTGAGGCAGGAGAGGCAAGTGTGGAGGCTCAAGGAATGGTAGTGGCCTCCGAAGAGGTAGAAGGTCTGTTAGAAAGGGAAGCAGCAGCTGAGGCCGGAGTGCTAGGTGATTCAGGCTATGAGGATGTGCCAGCGGGTACAGGCGAGGTAGCAGTGGAGAATGTGGCTGGCTCCTCAGGTCAGAAAGGAGCAGCAGGTGGAGTAGGAGCAGCTGGAGAGGAAGGACGAGCAGTTGAAGCAGGAGAAGAGGCTGGAGCAGTAGGTGGGGCAGCTGGAGCGGCAGTGGCAGGCTACGAGGATATCAGGGCATGGGGCGAGGCAGCAGCCCCTAGAGAAGGAAGAAGGCCCCCAGATTGGATGCGTAAGTGGAAGAATGCTCTGCCACCTATGTTGGAGAACCTGCGCGTTCAGGAGCTGAGGCCCTTTTCAGGTCAGGAAGCAGCAGATCCTGAAGAAGAGCCCTTCGAAGTCTGGGTGGAACACGCCTACAACATGCTGTACCTGTGGCGCCACCTGTCAGAGAAAGAAAAGAAGCGGCGCCTGGTGGATTGCCTGAGCGGCCCAGCCCTGGATGTCCTATGCACCCTCCTGGCCGAAGACCCCAATCTCTCCATGCAGGACTGCCTGGTGGCCATGGTGCAGGTGTTTGGCACTCAGGACTCAAGCATGGCTGCGCAGATCAGTTTCCTCACCTGCACCCAGGAGCCCCAGGAGCCCCTGTTTGACTTCGTGATGCGTCTGGAAGGTGTGCTGCAGACTGCAGTGGAGAAGGGGGCAGTGCAACCATCCAGCGCCGACAAGGTGCGTGTTCGGCAGGTGCTGACTCGAGGTCGGCCCAACTTCATGTTGTGCAACAAGCTGATGTGCATATACCTAGAGGGTTGGGCCCCTGACTTCCTGGGGATGCTGAAGCTGATCGAAGAGTGGGAGGATATGATGGACTTGGAAAAGTCTGAGCCCACCCATGGCAAGAGGCTGGTGTTCCAGAATTATCCAGATGTTGACTCCAATAATGAAGATGCTGCCCGGGCCAACCTCAATGCTGCAAGTGTTGCCCGGGCCAACCCCAGTGCTGCAGGTGACAACTCAGATGATGAAGGTGGTGCCAAGGCCAACCCAGACGACAAAGGTGCTGACCCAGACGACGAAGGTGGTGCCGCAGGAGCCGACCCAGATGACAAAGGGGCGAACCCCGACAATGAAGATGCCGGCTCAGATGACAAAGGGGCTGCCAAGGCCAACCTGGGTGCTGCAGGTGCTGACCCAGACGACAAAGGTGCTGA